ATGGATATGTTTGGGTAAATGGATATAGTTAAGTGCTGTCATAATGAATTGTGCAATAGTCAATATTTCAATTGAGGTACTCTAAAGCTGAAAACTTTAAAAAGCAGTGCGAACATCACTGAATGTTTTAGGAAAAATATTTCTAGTTGTTTTTTGGAATTTCTTAGTAGGTGTTAAAATTGAGTATTTATCACAACTTCACTGCAATCTGAAAGACTGAGTAAAATACATCAAAACCCAGTCTGAAACAGTTGCTGCAATCGTTAAAATGCCAGTTCAGTTGTTCATATTTCACTGTTTTGCCCAAAATAAATATATAAGTCCATTCAAAAGGCTGCAGTACTGTACTTTACTATATGAATTTAAAAATACTGTACGGAAAGGATTCAGAATCCTTTTAACTGTGCAGTGCAGGATAGCTCTGTGCCATACAGTTAACTACATTATACTGACTAAAAAAACCTTTTTGAAGATAATGCACGCCCTGCATATTTTGGATGTTTTCTATGAAAAACTGCTAATTAGAGATTGCTTATTTCTATTATATATATTAGAGATTCTAATAGAATGTGTTAGATTATAACATGTTATTATGAAAGGTTTGTGGCATAATATTTGATTCTGGCAATGAACATAATGCATACACAAACAGCTGACATGCAGGAGAGCAGTAGGGAGACTCATGCTGTTAGGACCTCAAAATGCTTGATGGTACCTATGGAAAAAATCAATTACTGCTAGCAAGGTATCCTGGGGATTCACCTTTACCTGTGGATGCCCAATTGCTTTGGAAAATGTTTTTGTTTTTGAGTAGTAGTTTAAATGTGTTCTCATTCACACATTTATATTAGATGCTAGAGTATCTGTAAACGGAAGAACGTAACTGTATATTAATGAGATTGCAACTGTCTTATACCACAGGATTCTCCTTTCTGTTGTTGACTGACCTAAAGTACAGGGAAATATTTATGCAGAAATGTTAATTTGTGAAGTCTGGCATATTAGCAGGTATGCACGTGCCTGTTATCTGACAGAATTGGTAGCTGATTTTTTTCAGAACTGAGTCAGGCCGGTGTAATATGTGCAAGAGTAACTAGACCAACTTCCTTTTGTTTGTAAGAAATTACTGGACCTAACAGCAAATATATAGGTAGTAACTTCAGAGGCAAAAGTTCTCCAACTATAGGCAACAAACAGCAGATCAAAAATTCTTTCAGGTGAACATACTGCTCCTAGTGGTTTAGACTGAAATAATCCCTCTGTTATATCTGTAATTGGTAGATTTATACCAGGAATGTACATTTGAAACATAGCAGTTTGTTAGATTCCATGTAGAAACAAAAGAATTGTGTGAAACAGCACTGAGCCATGCTGAGGGGAACCTGACAGCCTAAAAAAAAGGCTGGCTTGTCTGAGAGCTGTCAGCTTTCTTTTGCAGAATGGAATTACATTGGTTTTGTCACGTTTCCCTATGTCTTTGTGTCTCACTCTCAGACATGGATGTTGGAAATGGGCAGACCCACAGAGATTGGGATGTTTGAGCATCTTACTGAAGGGATTTTGTAGCGGTAATCATGACAGGGATAAAAAATAATCAGAAGTATTGAAGAGGAAGTTAAACTAAGGCAGAAGGGGCCTCTGAGCTTAGGAGATGCTGCAATGACTTCAGTTTATTTAGAAATTAGAAAAAATGTGTGTAAGAAGAAAGATTATTTCAAAGTGTTTTTTTCCTCTTAGGCAAGGATTTTTGAAATTGATCTTTTTGACATTTCACAGGTATGGCATTTCATGGAACAGCAAATCTTTTTAACAGTTCTTCTGTTAGTGACAGTCACCTTCTCAATCAATGCCAGACCAGGACTCTGACTAAGTTGAGCTGATGGAGCCCAAACCTTAATCAGACCGTTTTTCTGCTGTGCTTTGTTACAGTATTTTACTGCTCGAGTGACTCAACCGTGCATTCATGTTCTCCTGAAGGTTTATTCTAGATAGTTCTTGACATGTGCATATCAACAACTGGCTGTGGTGATGTGTGAGAAATTGTGGGTTAATAGATGTTTCAAGAGGAAGATACTCAATTACCCTGGAGACTTCCTCATTTTCCCAGGTATTAACTTTTGAGCAGTGTTTCAATGGTGAATATACCTGCTACAATCATTTTTAGAGGAAAAACAGGTGACTGCTGGATTATAATGGTGATTCATTATTTTTAAAATTCTAATAAACCTATTATCTCCCATAAATAATCTGGGGAACATGAATTCATTTGGCTTTTTGGACAGAATGTTACTTTTTTTAGTTCTTACATCACCTTCTGAATATCTGTTGATGTTTGTGTAGCTTTATAGCTCTGAGCTTTAAGAATAGATGGAGGAATGAGCCAGATGTTTACATAGCATTTTTCAGGAACCTACTACTGGAGGAGCACACTGAGACTTCCATGCATCTTCGACATATGCAGAAAAGTGGCATGTAGAGTGATACTTGGCCACCAAATACAGAGAGGGATTTAGTGTGGTTAAATGATGTGATATTTAGATCACCATGAGATCAGCACAGTTCTAAGGAAGAAAAATATTTATGCTTTGTCAATGAAAACCTCATTCGAAGGCTTATTCCCTCCTCTGAAGCTCTGAGGAAGATAGCTGTATTTGCTGTGATGCTAACCTTGTAATGACACCAGGTTTTAGCAGTACTGTCCCTCATCTCTTAGAATGATTTATTTTCAATGCATGGGAATGCATTGCTGTTCAAACTGCAACCAAATTCAGTAGGTTTGTTCCACTGAGTAAACCCAAATGTTATATTTTATTGTAGTATTGCTGCCTCTAATTATCTTTCTGGCACAGCTGTATCAGGTGCTAGAGAGTTTCCTCTTGTATGAATGTGGAGAATTAAGTTAAGAGCACTAGAGATGGAGGCCCACAAATCCTTCTCTATTCTTAAAAGCTAGTTCAGCCACTGCTCCCCAACTGACTGTGGTTCTGTGCATTGGAGAACGTAGAGAATGAGATGATAAAATGACATTCTGCAGAGCACATTCAAAGTCAATAAATTGATTTGAATTTTTAAAGGTAAAAATGTAGTCGTGGTCTCCTCACAGTTTCTGGAATAGTATGAAAGCCATAAAATCTGTTGTGTCAATATGATCTCAGAATCACGGAGGTTATATAAAAACTGAACAGTGTACTTCAAAATCTGCTTCTAAAACTCAGTGACATTTCACAGTAGGTTCATGTTTTTCTTTAATAAGAAAAGAAAAAAACCAATCGAACCACAAGAACCACCCAAGAAAAACCACGCATGCAGCCCAGCCCAATAAAAAACAAAACAACTAAGAAATAAAAAAAATTCCCCAAACCACATATGGCTGATTTCCCAGTAGCTATAAATTCAATTCACACAGTTCACTTGAGTTCAGTGAAGCTTTGAAAATTTACAGAAGTTCAGAATAAGGTCCAGTAAACTGTAATGTCTGGAATGCACTTATGTTTATGTACATAGGTCACTCAAAGTAATGCCTCCTATTTATTTCCATAGAAACAACAACAGATACAAAGAGCACAGTAACAGCATTTGACAAATCAAGAACAAAAAACTATTTCTTACCACAGCCACCACCATTAGCTAATTTGTGTGAATGAGCTGATCAAGACACTCTTTGTTTCACAGTGTGACAGCTCTGCATGGTCACCTGGTCTGTGGCTTGTCCTTCACATCACTGCCACCACTGCTGAAACACACTGTGCTCACATCCACTATTTGGTCTCCATAAACATTCTGTGTTGATGACAGTCAATGTGTACAATTTTTCCCACATGGAGGAATTCAGTGACACACCTGGGCTTCATACGCTCTTCCATGTCAGACACCATTGTGTCAAACTGCCTCTTTGCTGCCACCTGCCACACAGCAACAACATGTAATGGAATACTGGTGGAGAGGTTTAGCTTCTACTGCAATAACACCAACCTCTGCTTCTGACACTGTGGGCAAATATAAGAAAATAGAAGGCATTACTTTCATAGTTGCACTTGTATATAACAGTGTCTGGGATGTTGTCCTAATTTTCTTCATTTCTATATAGTTCAACTATATCTTTATATACTAACAAAGATATAACTAGTTTTATTGTTAGCCTCATCTCTTAGTTGCTGTGGATGTAATTAGGAAAAATACATGTAAACAGTCTTATTGATAAAGGGGTAGGGAAGATCATACTGGAATTCATGACTGAGCTAAAACAGATTTTAGCATTCTTTTGTGTTTAGGGTTTTGGGTTTTGTTTTTTTTTTTTTTGTGATTCATTGCATCTTTTACCTAAAGTATGTAAATTCTATGAAATTAGTAACAAGGGGTTTTGTTTGTGGATAATGAACTATATCTAGTTAAACCACAAAATATCTACATAGTTAGAAGGATGACAATATCGAGAGGAAAACAGATTTTTTTAGAAGTCATTTTAATCACATCAGTCATGTTGCAGTAAGGAATGCAAATATTCACATACTACAGATTGAGACTGCTCCAAAATGTTCTGACAATCTGTTCTGAGTGATGCCTTAGCCCCAGTCACTCCGGGTTTTTTGTTTTGTTTTGGGTTTTATGACTATAAAAAGCCACTACTCGTCTCCGTCACATGCTGTACAGGATAAAAGCCGTTTGGCTTTCTTACCAACAATCAGACGGCCGGAGTGCTGCTGGAACACAGAGAATATGCCACTGTCTGTGCAAAGTACAGCGTAATGAGGCAGACTGAGCGCACCGGACAATAGAGCTGTGGGGGGAAAGGGCTTCTCATGGGTATGCCAATCAGCTGCAGCTTTAGCATCTAACTAGTTTCATTTTTCATCTTTGCGAGTTCCATTTCCCTGTTTTGTTGGTATAAACTACATTTCAATGAACGATCTTCCTGCCTAGGTGACAGCACTGTGAGCTTTAATGAGGATGTCGTGGATCAGGCTAGAAATAATTTCTGTGTTTCTTTTTTTCTCTCATAGTCACGACCTATTCCCTCACACCTTACTTCAGCAGTTGCAGAGAGTATCCTGGCTTCCGCCTGTGAGAGTGAAAGCAGAAATGCTGCAAAAAGGATGCGGTTGGATAGACAGCAGGTACTGTGTTCTTCGGGGTCTTCCACATCCATATTGATCGATACACTCAGCTCATTTCAACTGGCAGTCGTGATGAAGCGTGGTGCAGAAGCTGCACCTCTCTAATGCCTTTGTTTATATGTACATGAGAAGCATGAGGGCGCCTAGCACAATTATAATGTTCAGCTGGATAAGGCTGCATATTTGCTTTTTAATAGCTATAGATTTTGAGGACATAGTGTACAGTCTGCCTGCTAGAGTTATAAGTAACAGAACATGTAGTGTGTGTGTTACATAAATATCAGAAACAGTGCTTGCATACGTGTGTCAGACTGCTTACTGTGAGCATACTCCCTTTCCAATTTTTGTGTGTATTTTTAAGTGCAATGTGCAATTCTGTAAGTTTCTGAAAATACCTATTTACTTACAACAGAAAAGTTACTGGAATATACATAAAAAGAAAGCTATCAAATGACTTGGTGAGTGTTCTCATCTCATATCAATGTTTATTTTTTTCATATGCATATTTTCAGCTTTTATAGTGTGTGATAGGATTTCATTATTTTTAAATTGCTGAGAATTGCTTGTTTTCCTTCAACACTTAAAATTCAAACTCATAACTCACTTTAGGTTTTGATTATTTAGTTGTTCCAAGGATACAGTGGATGTCTAGCATTTTTATTGCAAAAACCGTTCTAGTCTTTATTTCTCTTCATAACTATCAGAAAGCCCAGTCCAAGTAATATCCCTGCTCTTTCTGAAATATGCTTCTGTTATGGTAGGTGAACTTTTTTTTGCAGAATGCAGTGCTTGAAAGAAGAATTTCCTTTACACTGTTCATTTCAGTCCATTTATTTCCCCCAGGTCCTGCCCTAGCTGAATAAAGGATTCTTAGTACTATGCTTAGATTATTGATAACTTCAGATGTGAGAGTTGATAGTGGTATGTCCTTTTGTTCTTAAATTTTTTTTAGTATTTTCAATAATGCCGTATATTTATATTAAGGTTTACAAATCCCATAGAACGTCAAAGTAGTGCAATGTCAAGTGCGGCTTACTGCTCATTCAGATTGTGCAGATTTTATATACTGTCTATTTTCCCTCACTTGTCAGGAACAACAACAACAAAAAAGCTACAGAATCAACATTCTTGCCCCAAGGAGGCTGAGAAAAGACTTGTGCAAATATCATCTATTTTCATTGCGCTGTCTAGAGACTAACCTGACCTCAATAATCATAAATAGAGTGGTTCAATTCCTCAGTCCATCCAGAGTGAGGCAGAGTTTTCAAGTGATTTAAATCCCACAGTACTCCCCAAGGAGCCAGAGAGCTGCTGAAATAAGCACATTTTAAAAGCTGTAGCTAGAAATCAGAAAGCTATTAATAGGATTTTTCTTTCTTTAATTTGTGGTGTTACTGAAGGATTTGGTAACAATTTTTATTAAGGGGTGAGCTGGTTCTTTTCTTTCAATTATAGAATTCAATATTTGTAGGCAGAACAGCTCTGAACTGATCATCTTGCTTCCAAAGTGATGTTAAAGTAGCTAAGTATTGTGGTTAGGGCTATCACCAGATACTTTATTTAATAAGCAGTAAATTAGCTCATTTGATGTGGGATGTTGCTATCAAAACTATTCATGAATTTAGGATAAATGTACTGAATTTTTTTTTTTTGGAGAAAAAAAAACACCTATGGGAAGGTCTATTGGTAGCTTCATGAAACCTACAGTAAGAAATTTACCCTAGGAGGGTGAAGAGTTAGGATGCTAATTAGAGAAGTAGAAAACCTTGGTTCTAGCCCCAGTTCCATTGAACTGTAGTTATTTGTTCCAAATACATAACATTAATAAAGTAGATTGAGAGGAAAGTATTCTGGAATATTTCTTAGTGGAATATTTAACATAAAGAACTGTGCTGTCATGCTGAGATGGGAAGTGAGCCTGTATCTGGAGAAAATGATTCATAGATAAAAGGACTTTATCCTTCTCTTCTTATTTTTTCTTATTTTTACTTTTTATTTACTTTTATACTTTATTTGCCTTTCTTACATATATCCAAAATGAAATATTTTCAGTGTTTTTTTTTTTTCTTGAACAGAATAAGGTTGAGGAAGTTGAGTTCATCTTCCATCTTTTTTTTACTGTTCTGTAGTTTTGAAAACAAAAACAAATTTAAAAGTTAAAACAAAGTCAATTTAAAAAAAAAAACAAACCAAAACCAAAATAAGGCAAACAAAAAGAAATTTATCTTCCTGTTAATATGGCTCTGCTTTTCCTTTTTGAATGTGTATTCCCAAAGTTAGGCATTAAACAAATGAAGTGGACTCAGGCTTCAGTGGAAATTTGGGAGGAGGAAAAGGGAAATAAACTGTAGATAATGGAAACTACCATTTGATAAATTTTATCAGGAGACTTTCTGTCAGGGAACAAATGTTAGGTAATTCTGGAAAATAGATCATTAAGAGGACTTGGTAAGATCACTCCTCCAGCACTTCCACTCAGATGCGAGTAGAAGCATTGCATTAAAGATGCTTTATGTGCACTGTGCATGCAGCATGGTGAAATCTGCCTTTTTTTCCCCAAAGGGGTCAGTCTGCCTCAGAGCTAGATGTAATTTGAATACCATCACCATCTTCTCAGAAGATACAAACATGCATATGCATTTTATGGATAGTTTTCTGAAGTATTTTTTCAGAGTATGGCAAATGTACTTCTGTAGGTACAGTCACAGAATCCTTAGAGTTGGAAGGGACCTTTAAAGGCCACCTTCTCCAACTCCCCTGCAATGAACAGGGAAACATACAGCTACATCAGATTGCTCAGAACCCTGTCCAGCCTGACCTTGAGTGTCTCCAGGGATGGGGCATTCACCATCTCTCTGGGCAAGCTGTTCCTCACCACCCTTATTGTAAAAAATGTCTTTATATTCAATCTAAATCTCCCCTCTTCTAGTTTGAAACCATTTCCCTTTGTCCTATCACAACAAACCCTACTAAAAAGTCTTTTCTCTTTCTTCTTATAACCCTTCTATAGATACTGAAAAGATATATAGAAATATGTAATATACAGATAGAAAATAATGCATATGCATGGCAGTCTTTATAAGGAAACAGTAATTTGACCAATCAAATCTGTTAGCAAACCAGAACGAATACTGGAAGGTCCCAGTCACTCTTCCTTCTGTACTCATTCTCATGTTCTCACACTTGCTCATTCTCTCTCCAGCTATACAGAAAATGTTTCTGTATTTATGCTGCTAAGAAGTGCTTGCCTCAGGTTTATTACCTCTGTCTTGCAGGGTCTGTGCAGTGAGTGGTACGTGTTTAGAAGCGGTATAATGTCACCACTGAATAAAACCACCTCCACTGGTACATAGGGTTGATGTTAGTCCCCTGTCACATTCTTTGCCTCGTTCAAATAGCTCAAGGACACCTTGCCACTGCAAGGGTGACTGGAAACATCGTGTAATGAACACAACTCTGATATTCAGTCCTGAAATTGAGATGCAATTTCAGCAGCTTCCTGAGCTCTCTTTATTTGCTCTTTCCTCTCCTCTGTTTTACCACTGCTTCTCTTACACAACAGTCTCTTAGCAGGAAGCTCTGAGTATGTTGAATATAAATCCCTACTGTAAGTCTGTGCTTTAGTAAAATAACGCAACTTTCCAAATTAAAATATGGCTTTGCATATAGTACTAGTGACTTGATAAAAAAATACGCCAGTTTTCACTCAGGAAAAATAACCAGCTTAAAAACCAAAGCAATGGAAACTTTAAGTGCAGAAAATTTCTGCCTGCGAAAATCCAAATTTAAAAATAGGTTTATGCAAGCTGGTCTCAAAGAGTAACACTGAAGACATTGTCACTTTCTGAGACTTCTCTGTAAGGAATATAAACACGTTTACTAGATCACAGGAACTTGGAAGATAGTACCTTTGTCTGTCTGTTGTGTTAGGTGTTTCTCAAGTATTCTCTTTAGCTTCAGTGCGCTTCCATTATTTTGAGCTCAAGCTCTGTTTGTTGGCTTATGATCTAAGTGCTGAGAAGTCCCATACTGGAAATGTTACCTGATGGAAAAGTTCTGTTCTTCCACTTTTTATTTCTGACTAGTATTTAAAATAATTTATTCCACTGCACAAGTTTGGTAGATTTACCTATTCAAAGTATATAGGTTTGCTGATAATACTGCCCAAGAGTGGAATGTCCACACTCACTGGCCTGGGTTTATTGATCTTTCTATCACCCAGATGAGAAATTGGGTGCAAAAGTAATGAAGAGCTTTTGTGTTGCTCTGCAGTTCACCTTTGTAGAGTCCAGATTCTAAAACAGGATGATTCCAGTCGTGCATTTTGTGGGCATTTTCTTCAGAGATGACCAAAATGTGGAAACAATTGTTAGGTAATCCTCTTATTACATGCTTCAAGTCAATGACAGAAGAAATATTATCTGAATCCTACTGGTTTGTTTTGGTTCTGAGTGATGCCCCTGGACTAATCTTTCAAGATCCTCATTACAACTCTAGCAATATTCACTATGAACCAGTTACTCTGAAGTGAACCTTAAGGACTAACATCAACAAGGGAGTCTTGTAAAGCATTACATAGAGCTGAGGTACACCCCTTTTACATGCATTCATTACATACTGTGAACAGGATGACTTCTTTTATTGTATCTCTTACTTTACAGAACCAAATAGTCTTGGTTGGACAAAAGGAGAGTGATTAAATAAATAGAAGTTCTGTTAAAGCCATCTGGCCATTGCTGTCCTGGGCAGCAAATGGAGCCTGGGTGCCTCTTCTGTGAGTGGCTGTTCAGGAACCTTAAGCTCTGTGGCTCTGCTTCTTGTCAGTCAGAGAAACTGAAATATTGCGTTAGGAGCCTAACTGCTGTCAGTCTCAGCTTCTTCAGAAAAGTTATTTTTGTGGTGTAGTTTTCATGAACCCTCACCTTAAGACAGTCTCGAGCAGAGCTGGACTGAGTTATGTGTGGAAAGTGAGGTGGATTAATGTTGTTACCATCCTTTCT